CTCTCTCTCTCTCTCTCTCTCTCTCTCTCTCTCTCTCTCTCTCTCTCTCTCTCTCTCTGTCTGCAGAGAGGAATCAGATACAATATAAATATGTACTGCAATGCAGAAAAATATAATGCGACACTACGAGTTATATAAGTCAATGCTATAACGATGACTAATGCGTGTTCTTGCATGCTTACAATTAGTCTCGCGTAGGTTTCATTTTGTTTTAAATCAAAATTTTTACTACTTTACCAACTCTTATCATAATCAGTCACAGAAATTTCATTATGCATGTTCTTAAATTAAATGAACAAAATTTAATTATTCATAAACTCTAAGCTTTTTATTACTTGTTATTAATTTTCCTATACTTTACATTGTAATAATTAAACACTGACTTTTCAAGTAGTTCAGCAACATTTTCTCTATCCGTTCATTTTCTTCGACATTCGACGCTTTACTGATCAAAATTTTTACTGCTCTACTGATTCTTGGCATAATCAAATCAATTTACATTGCCAAACTCCATGTTTTTTAAAATAATGTATAGGATCAATATTTTTCAATATCTTTAAATGATGTTGAAAGTGATCTATATATAACATTGTTATAAGTAACTCTTGATGGTAATGTCCAATTGTGCTAAAATTACGTGCATCGGTTCCGTCAATTTTATATTATACAAAACATGTGTATTTGTACATGTATATGTTGTATGAAATACATATAAATAAATAAATTTATATAAACTATACCATTTATAAAAATTAATCTTTGAGTTAAGAATTGTGTGGCAATCGATAAAAGTAAAGTTGGTATTAATTTTTTTAATGTCAGTTCTTCGCAGCTACCTCGCAATTAGGACTCAACTAAGGACAAATAAAGCCCACGCGCAACGCGTGGGTTCTCGCGAAACACATATAGAAGCTCTCACGCTGAGAAGAAACAAATCTAACGAATGAATATATAATGTTGCGCAAAATTGTGTTTACTTGTCTTATATTTCGCGTCATTGAATATGTGATTGTGGAATACATGAGATTATGGAGAGGAAATTTTAATTGAAAGTGTGTTCGATAACCGATTGACCTTAACTTCGTTTCGCATTAGAACGAGCAAATGACTGTTTATTGCCAACTTGTATTTTTGTGATGAGCACGTATACGCGAGGGCTTCATCTCACAACAATACCGAAACTATGGAGTGTCGGACATGCTCAACATTGGCATAAATATTCAGACGACTATTTTGGCCGTTGAGAAAATCTATCACGTGTGTATAAAATCTGATAGGATATTTTTCATCGTATAGCTGGAAAAAATTTTATTCAACTTAATCGAGAGACGCGATATCTTTTAACGCCACATACACACACACACGCACACGCACACGCACACGCACACACATATATATATATGGATGCCAAAAATATGTGACATCGTCTATATCATTCGTTTCGTATCAACTTTACATTACTATCAAGCGTTATCGTTCTTTTCGTTACTATAGATTTCACCGCGACATAACTCGAAATCTCTTACTGCTTAAAATTGATTTAAACAGAACGATTTTTGTTACGATACCATTTCGACATTGTTTCAAGACGATACCTTTCTTTGCACAGCTGGTGGAAAATATGTGACATAACGGATACGCCAAATTTTTCAATAGTCATATTGAGAAACGCAACACGGTTCACGCTCGTCTGCGAGAAATGCATTACGTAACTGTCACGATAACGAAACGACTACTTGAAATCAAGAAACACACAGTGATACGTGACTTCCAATTTTAATGATCGAAACTTTCGAAGACAAATTTCGAAACCAAGAGGGATCGACGATATAGCAACGACGATAAAAAATTTTCCTTCTCTCTAAACTAAAACCTCCACGCGTATGACATCAATTCTCGCTAATTATCAAACATATAAACCGTGCTATATAAAAAAGAAAAAAAACACACACTAAGCATTTATAATAATTCATAAATTTAAATCCTAAACCTAGTTGATTCTTTGATTTCTTTCTCCGTATAAATATATGTAAAAATTGTATTTATAGCAAAGAGATCATTTTAATTCCACGTGCACGTCTATCTAATGGATGGCTACGTGGGCCAATTATCTGTGTTAATTGACATAACAATTAAAGCTAAAATAATCCGAGGACAAAAGAGGTTATATTCTAAATACAAAATCAGCATATGATAGGTATATACATGATACAGAATATATGAGCAATTAATCTTATTTCTTATAGGCAGGAATAGGTATTACTTTTAACGTGTTTTTCGATTATCAGTGAATTGTTGATTAAGCCGAAAACATGCACGCAATTGTCTTACAAAGACTTGAAATTCTGAAATTAACATGTGAGCACAAAACACGATGTAACGAGAAACGGTTTATTTCAAAAAAATTATTATGCGCAATATCTATAAAAATAAATAGATCCACAAGAAAGCGAGAGAACTAAACGATTTATAATATATTATAAATTTAAGTCAAATATTCTTTATTCGTGATATTTTCTTTTAATTAGAGAACAACTCTTTTAAAAACTCTTAAATGGAATAATAACAAAATTCTTTTCTTTATATAACAACGATATAACTATGTATCAATATATTATGAATAAAAGTTGAATATGGTTTTGTATATGATTTTCCGACAATATATCTTATTTTTAACTTTTTAATTTTTAAATTTAATTAACACAGATCATTTTCGTATTCTTTCTGCATTAAAATAATAAATTTGGCTTTTAATACTACATTTTCGTACGCGAAAATAAACGAGTTGTTTCGATATAATGTTGCAAAAATCATTGGGCCGAGTGTTTCATCTAGAAAAAAACAAACAGTGTAACTCGGTATTCTATGATATGAAGTAAATCAGAAGGAAACATTCAGGCATAGGTATGTATGACGCGCCGCGAACACTTGTGACATAAGTTCACAGAACAGCGATGTTCCGAAGCGCAGCGCAGCTCGGAAAACAGAAAATTAAAAGACAAGCGAAGACTCGATGGTGTAACGTTCCTAGTGTCGTATGGCTCGCGATCGCGAGCCCTCCGAGGTTTTCGATGCGGAGCAATGCGGAGCCATACGATGCGGTGCGATGCAGTGCGATGCAGCGCGTCGCGTTGCGTCGCGTCGTGTCGCGTCGCGAGGTAGGTCTCGGAAGTCGAAAAACGGGATCCGCGTCACGCGACCTGAATCTCGCGAATAGGTCCGATCGAACGAAAGGTTAGAAAGAAATCTTGTTGAGGAATAGCGAAGCGTATCTATGTATGTAGAAAATACGTGAGACTCACGGTAAGACTACACGTCGAGACGGTGGCGGGATACTCCTTTGTATCCAGGGCCAAGCCAAGCGAAAAATCCTCGTGGTTTCAAGATTCCGCGCGTTATTCTCTCCAGGCTACATCGGGCGATCACGCACTCACACCGTTCTGACTGCGGAGAGACAGTCGCAATCGACGGACCTTCGTACAACTTCCTCCCGCAGGCTCGCGCGAGCCTTGGCGCTCGGCTCCGACAGCTCTCCGACAAGTCGGTACAAATTCGTAGAAATCACATTGATAGCCGTTCGAACGTCAACTCGCTTCGAGAATCATAGACCAGCTGTGTTTTTGCCCGACCATCGAGGAACTCGAGCATGCGCTCTCCGAAATGCCTGCTTGGTGCCGCTACTGTCGTCTGGTATCGCCCGATCTGCCCGATGCCGTCTCTGCCCGACTGGTATGTATGTATCTCTGTTGCGGCATCTGGTGTCACCGCAGTTAACCAGCACGATCGTGATCAGCCGCCTTTAATTTACCTGCAGGTTATTTCACACGCGAAAGAGGAGTCTGTTGCGAAGCGCTGCTAATTCCAACGCACTGTGTTCGAGCCGATGCAAACTCACAATCGCGGTATAAAGAGACAGCTGAGAGAGAGAGAGAGAGAGAGAGAAACGTTCAGCGTCTCATTTTTAGCAACGGCGTTAGAAAGATGTTTTTTCCATATTAGTTTGCAAACTAAACGAATCAAGATCAGTTTAATTACAATTAGATTATATATTAACCATCAAAGTTTGGAGAATTATATAATTGTGCGTAATGGTTTAATTCACGTTTAATTTCCAACAATTCTCTACCTTTCTCGATTTAATATTTATTTTATTTTGAAATAAAAATTATACTTGCAGCTAAAAATATATCGGGCCCCTCCGGGATTTGAACCCGGGACCTCCTGCACCCAAAGCAGGAATCATACCCCTAGACCAAGAGGCCTGATGGTCATCCTCTATCAAAAAAGGTAAATCCACTGCAATACAGTTGTAGGAATAACAATATGATTTGAATTTAAATGTCAATGATCAATAAACACAAAAAATTTTATTGTTTACAGTAGAATGTGTGCATACAATGACATTATTATTAATGCGAATTTAGGTCTATATAGATAATATCGTCATTGTTAGTAATATCGACGTATATACATATATGCAATATAGTGATATACATTTTATAACAGTGTTATTTTTCAAATTTTTACGATAAGAATATTACAATGTTCTTATCATAATTTCAACTACTCTTCTCTTAACAGGAATATTTGAGAATCGCTGCAGACTTTTTCTTTCAAAGAATATACTTACTTGTGACACGTATCAGCGACATGGAGGAAGGAAACGAGATTAATGCCACCGTTCGGTTTAAATGAGAAAAAGAAGATAATAAATCTAATTAGTTATGCCACCGACGATCGAGATATATTGCAACTATAGTTACAATTGCGGTTTTACAAGGTTTCGCGTAGATGGAAAAATTCGACGGGGGATAATCGAAGAACGGTGACATTACCAAACATTTTGGCTGTACCGAGGATAACAAATATTTACACTGTTTTCTTATCGACTGTGAAAAGTTTACATTATATATTTTTCAATTTTCGCAACGTTAATTGTTGTATGTACGCGGATATTATGCACATATTTTTTAATTTTCACAATACGTGTGTTTACTGTATGTATGTACATACATACGTGTACATACGTGTATATACGCGAAAATTGCAAAATAATAACATGTAAACCCACTGTCGATAATAAAACAGTGATTTTTGGTCACATAAAACGATCGCGTGTTTGTTATCCTTGGTACAGCCAAAATGTTGGTAATGTCATCGTTCTTCAATTATCCCCGAGCCGCCCACTTGGCAGTTACGAATTTACCCATAGCCGACTGTTTTTAATAATAATAATAATATACGAAATTCAACATACCTCGTCGGTGGCCGATGGAGGTTATGCCTATGTTGTCATCACTTTTCAAATTAAGCGTAATGTATGTATGTACTTTGACTAACATTCCTTGCACATTGATTATCGTTAAATATATATATATATAAACGTAATTACATTTAAATAATCTCCTTTAATGTTTAATAAAATTTCGTCGCCTTTCGACGAGTAAGATTAATTCCTTAAAAAAGGGAATATTATAGGTCTTATCTTATTAAAGTCTTAAAATTATTAAATAATCAACAAACAAATAAGCATGAATATCTAGATCCGAATACACATACATGTATATGCTTTCAGTATATCCTGTATATGTATAGATATCACGTCATCAATTAAATGATCTGTTTCGCACACATTGCAATGTCAAACTCGTCAATTAAGCGTTTCACAGCGATATTCTTTATTAAAATGTATATATATATATATACACACTTAATATTTATATGCATATGCTTATATATGTATATATGCGATAAAAGCAATAACTCTATTCATTTTATTGAGAAAAATTATAATATAGTCTTGATTGCGCAGATTCATCAATTTCATCTCCGACGAACGTTGATATAGAGGAGAGAATTACATATTATATGTGTAACATACATATATTGTAAGAAAATTGAATGTTTTTTAGTAATACTGATTGCATAGCCATACTGATTGCAATTAAATATATATATACCATTCAAATGCAGGTGATTGTGCAAAAACAAATCAGTAATAAATTCCACCATTTTAACGTGGTCGTGTTAATTCCCTCTTTCCATCGACATTGTACGATCAATGAGGGACAATAATTTATTGCGATCAAAAGTGAAAAATGGAAGATACAAAAGTGAACATTACAAGGTAAGGCACATGCACATCATATAATACAAAAATGAAAAAACATAATGTAAGCATTTATTATTAGGCTTAACGCGGAAGAAATATAAATAAATAAATAAAAAAAAGAAATATAAAGAAAAATAAATAAAGATTTCGCATTCATCCTTCTCATGATGGGTATAGCGAAACATTTTTCTGACGATACAATTTAATCATATTGTTTCTCTCGTTATCACACGTTTCCTGTTAACGACTCTCTCTCTCTCTCTCTCTCTCTCTCTCTCTCTCTCTCTCTCTCTCTCTCTCTCTCTGTCTATCTATCTATCTATCTATATCTATCTCAGTTTTGCTATTATAAACGTGATAAATTTTTCGCTCATTTTCATTTTTCAGCAGCCTCAGCGCCCCGCTTCTTCCGAAGAGCATGGAGCGTAGGCCACATACATTTACCTCACACTTTTTACTCTCCCGCAACAAGTGTTCTCTAATCGATATTATTCTCTGCAAAACTCTTTCAACAATGCAACACAAAAACGAGTTCTTCGTTTTTTCTCGTTGATGATTATATCGGCTAATATACATATCTTTTACTTAGAAATTTATCATTTGAGATCATACACATATATATAGATAAATAATAATGTAATAGAACAAATTAAGCCTTTCGCGACTTTGTCGTGTCGACCATGTTTGCCGCGTCACCAGTCGTTCATCCTTTCTCCTCTTTAATTCTCCTTATATTTCTCTCTGACGATGGAATTAAAATCCCATCATTAACAGAAGTAACACACTGCACTCGTTCATTAGCATCGTCTTTTATCCGTCGAATCGACAAGATGATTTATTTTTTCAGAAAATGTTCCTCGTTATCATTGTCGACGACGATGTTCTTTCTCTCTCTTTCTCTCTATCATTCTACGTCTTCGTTGGCCCACCCGGCGGCGCGTTGCAATCGATTTCAAAATCCGACGACGCACGCTCTGCGCGTCGTCGCCACCGCCTGTTGTACCTCCTCCTCATCATCCTGTCTGCCCTCGCTTTCTAGTCAGTGCCATCGCTGCGGCGAAACCGGTAGACGTTCACGGGGACATGGTCCAGGAGCTTGCAGCCAGGACCGTCAAGTGGTGATCGTTAATTTTATCGCAAAGCTGAACAGTGGCAACGGTTAATAACGGTGTTTCCCGTGGTGACGCGTACGATGTGCCGCAGGGTGTGAAAAAGCCTACGTTGCGTCACGCCCAGGTGAGAACATACCTGCCGTTTATGCGTGCTCCAATCTCCATGCCTCTCTTTTCTCTCTCTCTCTCTCTCTCTCTCTCTCTGTCTTTCCCCTCTCTTTTTCGCATTTAATCTTGTAAGTTTGCAGAAAATTCTTGCTCTTGTTCCTAAAGAATTCTTTGTAATTAGCTTTAAAGAATGGATTTGTACTCCCTATGCTCTCTTTTTAACAGAATTCTTTATATTAATTTCTCTAAGATATATGTATTACGTACGATTGGACATGTAGATGTATGGATGTAATTAAAAAGACTAAAAATTTGTTACTTTATCGGCATGCTACCGTATTTACATTGCGCATTCAATGCTAAATGTGAATGAAAGCATTCTGTTTGATTTCCATTGCGTGTTTATCAAGAAAGATCTGCAAACTCATAAGTATTTAATAAAATTTAATTTATACAAGTCGTGCGTATATATTTTCGAATCTATATTTCGCTTTGGCCATATAAATATTTGAGAATAATTTGGAAAAGAATTAAAATTAGATGAGATGTAGCCGCGCACTAATTTCCTAAGGGGTTAATTCTTTATTTTATATCCATTTTTATTCTTTAAAGATGGTTAGGTGAACATAGCTACAACCTGATGTTTCAATTATAATATGAGACATATAAGTATAAATAATCGCGTAAAGAAGATATTATATCTTGAAAGTAAATATAGAGAAACACCGAGAAAAAACTTAATTCTGGAACAAAGATCTAACGATTGAAAATGTATACTTATTGTTAGTCAAAATTTAACTTCAATTCGTAATATTTCTGTTGTAGTTAGTTTATTGAAAATGTGAATTATACATTATTTATTAACTTGTGTATTAACTTTCGTTGGATTTATATTAAATTGAGCGCGGGCGCTGTACTCTAGGGCGATGCACTCAAGAAAATACTTAACTTACAATTAGCTCTAGAAACTGCATGTTGCTACAAGCCCAAGTATTTCCATACTAAATAATTAATTTGTGAAAAATAGAATCTTACGTTTGACGCAGTATTTATCATGGAAGTAATTGCAATAAACTGTCAATCATTAAAAACTATTAATGAAATTATTAAAAGAAAGAAACTCATTGCAAAATAACAATAAACGTAAAATGGTGTAACGTTTATGCGTTATGCATATTATTTATTCCGGTTAAAATCCTGGTTATGGTGTTTAATTTTTCTATATAGACGATCGAGAAGCATCCTAAGTGCAGTATATACATATAATAGAAATTATAATGTACATATATATATATAGTGAGTAGAGTGATATAATATAGATTCACAATTGTAGAAACATCTATGGGCCATAAACGGTGGTGGCAAGGAGGCTTGGTGGAGCTACTGGTGCTCTGTACGCTAGTCCTCCATCACGCTGTCGTTCTGGCTGATGGTGACGTCGGTGAGTACGATTGAATATTATCCTGCAAATACGAAAATAATGGCGTTTGCTTCTAAGAGTATACTTAATTAGTAATCAGTGAAATTAGATATAATTACTTTTTATGCGAATTCTATTACATGATACAGAAGGAGAGGGAGAGAGAGACTATAATATTATAAAAATGTATGTTTTTATTAACTCAAAAGATCTTTGTTTCTTCTTTTAGAAAATATAAATTGTTTTGTTTCTATTTGAAAGTGTTCCAATTTGAAATATGTAAGTATTTTAATTTTCAGACAGTTAAGAGTTCCTAGTTATAATAACTTCCGTTAGTTCCGTTAAATTTCTTTTCGGTCGTGAAGATACTTCGCTTCTTTTTGCAATTAATAAACTGATGAACTTTAAGTCTCCTTTTAGAGTTAAGACTTTTAAAGAGGCAGGACATATAATGTTTCACATATTGAAGCGTTTCACTCTATAGTTTCGCATACGAACCACCTGTTATAACATTCCGTGCAATCAACTAGAAACTCTTTGTATGTGACCAGTAAATGCGACAATATGAAACAAAGGATGAGGAATATATTATGTAGATGTAACAGTATGCTGAGAAAATTATATAAACCTACAAATCAGTAAAGCTAATGAAATAATTTCAACTCTGCTTTATCAACTTTTCAATGATATAACTACTTAGCATATCGAAATTATCAAAATAGGTTTTGAATTTTATTTAAGATTTTATTTCATAAAAATTCTTACGATTGGAAAGATTTTAAAATTTTCTTTCTGAAATGTAAAATTCAAAATATATTTCTTGTAATTCATTTAATTAATAACTAAATTAATATCTAAAACGCTTTTCAAATATAAGAAAATTTAATTTTTATTTTGTCGATGTTTTTGACGAGATGCGAGATGTTCACATTGAAATATTAACATCGATCGTGTAATGAGTCGATACGCCCCAATGGTGGACGCCCTATTAAGTTAACGCGTGACATTATACTTCTGTAAGTACCTTGCTATTTCGCCACATTCATGAAAGCGCACTTATTGATTAACAATATATACGCCGTAAAAAATGCAAGAAGAAGTGAGCAAACATCAGCATCCTACTATTAGCCACGAATGATATCGCTTACATTTATGTTTAAAAATGCAATCATGACGATGATTACGAAAAATATAAAGGTTACATAGTACCACTTAACAGAAGGAAAATTTAATTAATTAAAGGATGTGAATAGAACCAAAGAGATTTGGAGGGATGGGGTTATATAGGTATAGCCGAAGCGTTAGTCAACTAATAACTTACAATTAATTTTTATGCTATGTGCGTTGCGTATCTATATACTGTTCACGATATTATGTGTTTGTTTGAAAATTGAAATAATAGCTTAATCATTAAAAATAAAGAAAGAAAGTTAGCGCAACCAGACTCCAAAGCTCCACAAGCATTTCTAATTCGTATTCACCAACGGTTGACGTCAGCAATGAGCTTTCACAATGCTATTATTCCCAGCGCACTTTTAAAAGAAATCGAGATTAAGGTCGTCGATCTTCATTGATTTCTCGATATCTCAAAATACTTTTCGTATACGTGGCTTATATAAATTCATTCGCCGTATTCGCAACTTATAGGTACGCCTACATAAAGCTTATCGTGAGCTTACCATGAGAATGTTGTTGAAAGATTTGATGTTGTAAAAACGTACTGCGCTACAACAGCTGCGTCTTTTAATCGTAACGAAGTAAGAGCTGAGAGAAATATAATTTGTTTTAGAAATATTGGTCAATTTTTTTTTTTTTTTTTTTTAACTTTAAATAGCTGCGAGGAAAATTTTGTCGATTTTAAATTAGGATAAATGAAATCTAATGGTAACTAACAAGAAGAAGACTCAAATGAACCAAATTGTATGTGGTAATGTGGAAATAAATTGTAAAGATATAAAAAGACTTTTGTGTGACTTGGAACACTTCAATTCTTTTATGAAGCTTCTATTTAACTTAACAAGATTATGAAGAATAATCAGATAAATTGAATTAATATGCAAAAAAGTAGAAATCAACTGATAACATTAAATAAAAAGTTCAACGTAAATGTAAAAAGCAAAAAGCTTTTTTTCTAATTTATTAACTTTCAAATAAAATTCTATCTTGCAACCTTAAATTTATAGTTAAGGATATCTATTCAAATAATAATAAGTATTAGATAAAGACTTTAAACATTTCAAAGATAATCTTGTGAATTATCGTTATCGTTGACGCTTTTAAATTTGGCAATATCCTGCTGTTTGAAGAATAAGAAATTCTCTCTCTCTCTCTCTCTTCTTTCTATATACAAGTATACGTGCGTGTCTGTACATACAGAGACAGACAGAAAGAGAGAGAGAGAGAGAGAGAGAGAGAGAGAGAGTGTGTGTGTGAGGTAGGGGGGGGGAGCGGGGAGGAAGGAAAATGTTCGATTTTCGCCCACGACAGCAACTCGACAGTTATTGAACCGTTCATCCCACGCAGCCACCACCTTCGTGAGCTTCGAGATCTCTCTATCGTACGCGTGTAATGCTGCTACACTCTCTCGCTCCTCCAACTATATCTCGCGCAACCCTTTGCTTATCTAATATGTCATGCCCCTTTCCCTCTCCTCTCTTTGCTCACTTTATAAATTTAGGTAACCTTTTTGCAACTACAGCCGAAGTATGCACGTACACTCCAATTACATTGCTTCTACGTTTAAATTTTATTATTCGCATGTTCGCTGTGAACATGCGTTTGTGTATACATTTGATTTATCTGTTCGATCGAGCAGTGTCGATTGTCCATATATTTGATCCTGTTCAAAAGTATTTTCGTACTAACTGAAGTACTTGCGTAACAGAGATTCGATTTCATTCGTTGAAGAAAAAGACTAATGAATATTATACATATTATTATTTGGTATATAATACGAAATAATCTTTATTAGAAATCGTCTACTGATATTGATGCGAATTGTAACTCGTAATTAACAACTATTCCAATTACAGATAATCTTATTCAATAATTAATGATTTGTTAAATAAATACATGGTTGATCTTTCCGCAGTAAATGTATCACGTAATACAGAAAAACTTGTATAACTTAAACACATATCTTTTGCAAACAGTGATGAAAATATATAGATTCTTTCTGATTCGCGTTCAAATATTGCTAAATTCTTACTCTCTTCCAATATTATATTTTACTTCGATATGTTTATGCATTATATTTCATTTTATTCTGCTCTTTAATTGCTAGGTTTTTATGTTATACGTTTGAGAAATTTATTTTCTTAACAAAAATAAATAAATTTGCAAATAATATTTTTCTCCATTTTTAGTACATTATTGTACTGAATCCAGATACTGTTAAAGCCATAAGATATATAACAAATGATATATCGAGAAGAGTGTATTCGATTATGTCGATATCGTATTTATTAAATGTAGGTATCCTGCATCTTTACAATCTAAGCGCATTTGAATACTTGCAATGAGTACACGCAATTGAATTTAATCATATGATCACACACAAATGTTCCGTTCTTTAATTTTTTACGTTATGCATTTTATTCGAAATCAAACCGATATACAATCAAATCCTCGATTTCACGAGGATTTAATTCGATATTTAAACCACATGGATGAGTATATAATAACATCTATGAGAATAATTTATTTTTGAAGAGAACGAAATAATTTAAAATGCGAATTCAGAGAATAGCAATCAGAACAGAGATTGAATATAATTGTAAGGTACAACGTTTAATGAAACGTTGTAAAGAATTGATTAAAAATTGTAAGAAAGGAAGAAATTAGCATCGATTTAACTTGAATTTTTTTCTTCCTTTCTTACAAAATAATTATCTTTTAAGGAATGTCAATGTTTATAAGTTTTTATAGTGAAAAATGCGCATGATAGGGATAGAGTATACATGTGCTTTACTTTGTACAATGATAGTATATGTGTAGTAGAAGGCGGTCAGAATTATCCATGATGGTAAACGCACCAAAACTATTTCAGACAATTTATATATGATTAAATTTAGTTTGTCCCTAGACATTTTCGACACGGCCGCTATATTTATTCCGTAATATGTATTTCACAAGTCGCAATATAATAGCAAGCCGGTCGATTGTTCTATAAGCAAACGAGCAGGACGAAATCAGGTTGCCCACCTGTGTCAAAATATTTGTGCAGTCTAGCAGGGTGCATACTTGAATCTGCATTTTGACTCAAATACTTAGAATGTATATACGACAAAGCTAATTAATTCTTCTGTCAATGCATAATTTTTTATTAATGCATCGGATATCCGGATATCCATTACATATTGCAGTGTGCATATGGATCTACAAAAACGTCATTATGGCAATTGCTTCGAAAATTCGTTTCCATATCTATATTTTAAAGAATTTTTAAACTTGGTATATTTACTTTGCCGAAAGAATAGATTTTAATATGTTCAATATCTCATGCGTGTTGATTATAGTATTTATCAATACTTATCAATCAGCAGCCGACATGAATATATGTGTATATTGCTGTATGTTTTGAGCTATTTTTTATTAATTTATAATATTTGCAAAAAATATTATTATCAACACAGAAGAATTATCGCGTATGTAGTTTGCTAGGCTAAGAAATGTGGTTGAATTTGTCAAGCATTATTAGCTAAAATATTTATATATTATTTATCACTAGAATATTAGAATTATTGGGCTATTATTTTAGATTAAATTAATGGAAAAAAGATTTAAAAGAAAGAGAAGAATATTTAGAGATATTATTAGGTCACATTGAATCTTCAGACAATAAATATTTAGATATCAAAAACGAAAAATTCCTCAATTAGTGCAGTTCTGAAGTGAAATACTAAATAAAATATTTTGTATTTTATCAATATGATTTTTATTCATTTAAAATGAAAAGTCTTTAAACATTGTTTCAGTTTTTCATAGTTTTGCAAGAAATTAATAATGGAGACATTCGATATATTGAGCAGTAAATATTTAACTTTGCAAAGTTTTCGATAAAAATACAAAAGTGGAAACAAGATAAAGTTTGTAAAACTCTTTGTTGTTCAAGGGATGAAGATCTAAAGCGTTATAATGAAATTTGTACAAAAATATAAAAATTTTTAACATTTAATTCGAATTTAATTCGGTACCCAGGTAATCATGCATTGACATAAGAATTAATGTACATACAGTTGGAAGCATCCGCACGTGATAAATACAACACACACACACACACATTCGAAATCTCTCTTATATGTAAACAATTAGCTCTCTTAGCTCTTGGTATAATCATTCTATTTTCAGGATGTCTATTCAGCGAGGATATATGCGATCCCCAGACGGAAAAATGCTTTGACGGTAATAATTTTGTTTGATCCTCTTCAATTAATAAGTTAATAATGAAACGAAAAGAATTGTTCTTTTATTTTGCATATTATAAGAAAATATAAAAACAAATAAATGATTAGAAATTATAGATTTTCGCATGATCAAGTTTAATTAATTAATAATAAAGCTGCGACACATTATTCAAGTAAAATCAAATAGCAATCTTTTATATTAACATTATTTTTCAGATCTGGCATTTGGAAAATGTATACCTGGGTACACAAATTTAGAGAATGACAATTTGTATCAGTAAGTTAATGATCATGTCCTTAAAATTTGTATGTATTTATGGCACTTGTAAATTATTCGCTCTGAAATGTCTACATCTGAAATGTCAACTCGAGATATGTGAACACAATATATATGAACCAAACGGAATTGAATTCTCTTTTCGATTGATTAATTTTATCGCCGGGTCGTCAAACGGTCTCGCTACTTTGTCTTTATTATTGTACATTTATGTAACGTTTTAGCGCGATCAACGCATAAAATGTAGCATAATCAACACGTTGTAATACGTTGCGATGTAATACAAGTCTATTCTCTATCGCGCAGATATAATAATCTTGATATCGATGAATTGGAGCTGCTACAATCGATGAGACTGCAGTTGATGAGACTGGAATCTGACGGATATAATTGGAAACATCCCTTTACCCAATGTATTGTGCAAACTCTGTTGCATAATCTCCGTTATGGGTATGTCGTTTTGATTAGAATTTATAGTTATAAGTTAACAAACTGAAATTTGCCAATAGAGATTTGTGTACAAATCAATACAACAATTTTAATATATCTATAAATTTTACTATTTTAGAGATGTCACCCTTTTTCTCATCATATAAAATTTTTGCCTAATTAGTAAAAGAAGAAAGTCGTATGTGTTCTTTTAAACATTCTCATTTTTTCAGATTGAATTCCTAAAGAAAGAATAACGAAAAATGCAATTTAAATATTATATCGCAGAAATCTTTTACGCTGAAATAATGTATCTTGCATTATATATACATATATATATATATATATTATATTAACTGTTCTCCATTAATTTTTTGGCATGCAAGATACAGATAATGCCATCTTTTGCCTACAGAACAATAATATATATGTATATATATATATATATATCGGTCAATGTCAAGTATTTAATCGAACAGATAAAAATTACACACACACATACGAAGTGTGATAAAAAAATATGAATGTGAAATAAAAAGATGTCCATTAGTGACAAGAACGATGGGATAAATTTATTAGAATCGAGGGGAGTATTTTGAAGGGATTAATTGTAATTTGTCTTTTTATGTAATTTTTTTTTATTTCATAACATTCACTGTATTTTTTATCACATTTCATACATATGTGTATGTATGTATGTAATTTTTATCTGTTCGATTAAATACTTGATATTGATCAATGTACAAATGTCAGGTACTTAATAAAACAGAACTTGAAAAAATTTTCAGACAAAACAATCTTCGTGATTTTCGTCTCTGCCAATATTTGAAGAAGCCACATCTTGATGAACAAGATGGATTTATTGACGAGGTCAGTATTGTAGCGCAGACATGTTCACATATTTTTTTCTGGTACTGTCATCGTTTGTTGGTCGCAATTATTTCTTAAAAATACGTAATTAGTCGCAATATTACTCCTTAATAATCAGCTACTATCGATTTTCTTTTCAGATAGTTCCAGCGGTTGCTATACTAAGAATATCTACAGACAACGAAAATACTGAGAATAATTTGGCCAATGTTTTGTATCGTCCCACAGGCATTGAAGACAAGTAAGTTTTATCTCGCTCAAAGAGAAATCAAAATTAAAAATAATACAAGTACATTCAAAGTTTGTGTATTATCATTTAAGCTATTACATGATAATTAAATTTATATTTTTATAAAAAGCGTTTCTAGTAATTGTTATTTTATATTGTACTCTATTATTTTAAAATACACAACCGAAAACTTAATTAAAAATTGAGTAGTATATGAATTATTTCATTTATTATTAAAAATCAACATATATATTTAAATGCAACAAAAATAGAATAGAGAAAATAGAGAATATACATGTCAAACGTATCAAGTAAGAAATTTAACGAAAAAATACGATTGATATTTGATATTTTTTAAATTTAATTCTTGTGAAGAAATCTTTTTATAAACGGGATATTGATTTTCTATATGGTTGTTGCCATACGAAACCATCAGAAATTCATCAAATTTGTTTACAGATCTGACTACATGATATGGCATAATGACGAGAGTGATCGGGCTTCAATCAACGATGAGAAATACGACGAGTACGGAAAATCACTGAACGATGTGCGCGAACAATTTTATCCGCCTAGAACACGTCGATTCAGCTTCATCGATGATTATGAAATGAAAAATGATGTTACCGAGTCTCTCGAGGATACTTTGAGAGACAAGAATGGCGATGAGAATATATATGACACGCAACTTTTGTCCACCAACCTTGAATTTTTACAGAACGTAAAATCGCCAGATTACATGTTATTGAAGCCCTCCTCCGATGCAGAGACAAATGAGAGAACATTCTCCAGGAAATATAAGCATCGGAAGAAGCCACTACGTTTCGAATTTTCCGATGCTGATGCGAAAAGAACGATGATCAGGCGCAATGAGGATCTCGACTATGAGAATAGTGAAATGGATAAAGAGAATTCGGCTGAGAGATTCGAGGATACTTCGAAAATACGCGGGATGTACACCGAGGGAGGAGTTGTGCGACCTACGGAGTATAAAATTATATCCGATGCGAGTGGTAAGTTAGTTTAGTTTCAATAGATTGCTTAAATATATCTTTTTGCTGAATTGAAATGTATATTTGACATAGGAGCTGTATATGACGAAATATACGACAACGACGACGACGACGACGACGACGACTTGGATACGCTTTTATGGAGACGAGAGTTGGCTGGCTTTAAGCGCAGAGAACGCTTAGACGTTAAGAAACCTGGCCCTCCATTTTCGACGAATAATTACGCATTTAAATCCCAATCTCCGGCTAGTAAGTATACGTTTCTAACTAAATTTGCGTTTAATTTCAGTTTCACGACTTTCTTATTATTTTGATATGATCCTTATGTATCCTAAAGATGCATTACAAAATTGTCATTTTATTTCATTGACTTACATTTTTGCAGCCCATCTTGACAGAGATTATTCCGAGACGGACAATCAAGATGTAAGTATAATCGAGCTTATATTCTGACTATTAGATCGTAAATGTTACATCAATCTCCTATTGCAGAATAACGAAGTATACGCGCCATTGACTAAAAAGGAATTACGCGGTAATATATATAAAACAATAAACGATGATGGGTCAGAGACTTACAAGAACGTCGACTTAGATTATGTCTACATTGAATTTGAGCAAGAGTTTCATACATGGTCTGAAGGAGAACACGTGGTTACTAAGGTAGAATAGACCAGAATTGAACAGTAATTCAAAATATTTAGAAAAGACTAGATTAATATGTTATAAATTATATTTAAAATTTAATGTAAACTTTTTGAATTGTCAGGTTGAAGAACTCCTGGGATTGCCTCTCGGAACGTTAAGAGATACACGAGTGGGCCGTGCGGAAGTAACGTTCAAAGTTGTTGAAAATGACAAAAATTACACTGCAACTGACGTTGTTAACAGCATCGGTATAACAATTTACGTACTTATTTTATATAAATATAAATTCGAAGAACAATATGAATATCACGTAGGATGAGATAAAAACAAATTTGGTTTGCAAAACATGTTTTAAAAAATATATCTTATTTTAGATAAAATACGTGGTAAATTACAAAATGCGCTAGGAATCCAAGTTGTTCGAGCAGGTATAGGCGATAAGGTACTACAATAAATGTATTAAATATATGTCTTTCTTATTACCAAATAGATTAAAGTAATTGCCAAATTTTGCATATAAAACCTAATATTACTTTAATACTTTCATCAATAAAAGCGCATTTTTTTACAGACTAAATTACCAGCTACTCTGGAAGTAGCTAGAGAGAGCGAGATGAGTTCCAGTTTTTTCGGTGCGTTGGTAGCTGCTGGAGTTGCGGCTGCGGTCGCAGCTGCAGTAGTCACGCTTTTAATTGCGCGTCGCCACGCCAAATGTCGAGCGAAGCTTGCTGGACTGGCCACTCCGGATCCAGAAGCATCCAAGGACTATCAAGACTTATGCAGAGCAAGAATGCAGGCAAAACAACCGAGTGAAAAGTTGGAATCGCCACGTATCACAAGCTTGTCGCGTGAAAACGAATCCAATAATTTGCCCTCCAATCGCTCCAGCACATCCTCTTGGGGCGAGGAACCTACTCTCTCCAACATGGACATATCGACTGGTCATATGGTTCTTGTAAGCATAATAAAATATCGAGAGAAAGAAAAAAAGAAATATTTTGAATTTTATTTAAAAAATTTTTAATATTTCGATATTTTCATCGCGCTTCATTATTTCACTAATTTAATAAATTACTGTATTATTTCTCATATTGATATTTTATAATCAAACTTGTATTTCCAGAGTTACATGGAGGATCATTTGAAAAATAAGGATCGTTTGGATCAGGAATGGGCGGCATTGTGTGCTTACGAAGCCGAACCATCGTCCACGGAGGTCGCGGAAAGCGAGGCGAACGTCAAACAGAATCGTCCCAGCTCGGCACTTCCCTACGATCACTCTCGAATAGTCTTGAACGATCTTGCAAATGCCAATAATTCCGACTACATAAACGCTTCCACGATCGTAAGTATCTCTGTGATACTATCTCTTGTGTTTCACCATTCCTTCAATGAATCCTCCCGAAGCCTGAATTTCTTTTTCAAAACTAGATACGTTTATATATATATATATATATATATA